CTGACTCTGAAAAGAGAAAGTGACTCCTGATACTTTGATAGTGTAGGGTCAAAACCAATCAACCAACATCGAATCAGGTGTATTGAGGTGCCTCAACAGCCAGAGAATGTGTTCTCATGGCAAATATTTGAGGTTGCCCTCGAAGTGGTTCAAATCTCGGCACTAGAGTCCTATAAGGGCAAGATTGATTTGAGTGATGATATAGCCCCATTTGAGTGAATGTGTCCCTGTTGAGGATCACTGAAGAGCTAAAATGTTGTCTCTTCTTTTCCACACTAAGACAGTCAACACTCATGTGGTTCGACACATTATTGTCGGGAGTGTTAGCGTCGTTCATTGATTTCACTTGAATGTTTATGGCACAATTTGCTAATGCCAGAAGCTTCAAAAAAATTCATAGGTCCTTCAAATTTGGCAGGAAAAAAATGAGAGTCTTTGTTTGTTCATTGCACTCTTCTAAAAGGAGATGTTGGAATGCAAGATTTGAAACTCACAGTTGTACATGCCACCCTAGCTTAAGGATTGAATGAACTTTTTGATACACGTTATACCTACAACAACTGAAGACACTAGCCGAGCTGTTGAAACTAGCCAATTGTTACATATTGATAGAAGAATACAACTCCTCCCATGCATTATTCAGAACCGAGCAAGCCAACCACCATCCACCAAAGAGAACTGACAACGGAGAAAACCTGGAATTGGAACATAATCCTCACAGCTCGGCTCAAACTTGCCTCAAAAACTCATGAATGACACTCAAATTACTGGCAACCGACACAACAAAACGACAATGGAGTAAGGTCTGATTTCTTTACCAACGACTGGCTCGACAATGAAAATGTGTTTTCTTTCCAACATTTATATTTTATTTTCAATTTCATAAAAATGGTTAAGCAAACTTTTCTGAGTTTGCGCACAATCTCAAGTTCGGGTAACACTCGGGGAACTTAGGAAACTCATGCAATGAATCATCAGAATTTGACTGAAACCTGGGGAACTCAAACCAACCCGCCAACAAAGATTCCATCCAAGCGGCAAAACTAACAGCGACGCATGATGTTCTATTAGTAAAACTTTTCAAAAACCGACAGCGACGTATATGTCTGATCAATAAAATTTTCCAAAAATAAGCAGTGAAACATGACATCTGACTGGTTAAATTTTCCAAAATTGATAGTGATGAATAAACAACCAATCATAAAACATTATCTAAATTTAGCTAACAATGAATATTAACATTCAATCGACATAATGCACAAGAATCGACCCACAATGCTCATGCATCATAAAAACCTTTGTTTCCTAGCTCGAAGTGGGTTAAGCTTTGGCAATGATTTCATACACATTATCAATAATATTCATGGTGGATAGTGTGCGTATCATGTCAACAACAAGCCTCAATGTTTACCCTCATGAATATTGTGACAAGATCCACTAAATTTGTTTGGCGTAATCCATCCAAGACTGACCTAACCGACCAGCCGAGATATGAGAAGTTTAAGACTTGAGCTGGACGACAACTCAACAAACTATCCAAAAAGTTTTTTAAGGATTTATGACTCATCAATCATAACAATCAAGCATTTTTTACAAGAAAAATAAAATATATGCTAAAGATAAAATTCAGAAAATGAATGTGAAAACCAACCGAATGCTTTACTTTATTTAATGATTGAAAACTTACAAAGAAGTTCCTATATGTTTTTGTGCAAGTGTTCAAAAAAAAAAAAGTTACAGATATAGTTGATTTTAGTATAAAAAAAGTTGGAAAATGTCAACATGACTGATACAACTTATTAATCATTATTGTGCACTCTCTGTTTCTCTCTCTCTCTCTCTCTCTCTCCATCTTTCTGTCCTCTTTTTTAAGCTCTATACATTAGGGTGTTATTTAAAGACAAATCAGGATTCGACACTATCTAATAGAGGCATAACCTCTCACCAAAGCAAACCCTTTAAGTGAGGTTCAGCACCAAGCCATCGTAGAAGCATCACTGCAATGCTACCACAATAAATCATGATCCTTTTTATTTCTTCTTTTTAAGAATTTATGTAATAAAAATATACTTTTCACAACCAAATATTTTAAAACTACACTTGACATAAACTTTTCTATAATCTTATTTTATATATCAATATCACACTTTAATTCTGCTAGCAATTTTTTTTATAATAAAATATATTAAAAAATGGGGGCTTAAAAAAAAACTCATAAAAATTTTGCCTTATATATATAAAAAAAAATTATAATATGTAGTGAGGCATTGCTACATTTTAAAATAATGAGGAGGTCATTCTTGAGGAGCCCCTAATCCTTCATCATTTTATTTCCCATATATTTTTTTTAATTGTAAATAATTAATTATATTGATTTCATATAGAAAAGGATCATGAATTGACTTTCTCTCATAAATTATAATTAACTTCTCTTATATCATACTTATTTTTAAATAGAAAAAAATCATTATTTATATGAGAATATTTTAATCAGAGAGTTAATAAAAAATCCAAATTAATTCTTAATTTTTTTTCTTAAATTGGGGCTGAAGTAATTCTTTTTAGGGATCATTTTAACTAATATTAAAAAATAAATAAATTCTTGGACAAATAACCCCCTTTAAAAGTTAAGAGGCTATTTTGACACTTATTGTTAAATAAGTTAGACAATGTGAAGTTCGTTAGGATTTCTCTAGATAATATGGGAAAATTATTGCATCAGGACTGTCCTAATACAGTTTTACATCAGGACTCCAATCAGGATCTATCACGCGTACAAACAAACCCACCCATATATTAAATTAATTTTTTTTCTTTTACTAAAATATGTCTGTCTATACACATGACAAACCCTGAATGTGGTTATGATACAAAACTGCATCAGAAGTGAGTTGTTATGCAATAATTTTCTGAGATTATGGGTGCCTTGTTATAATGGATAATTAGCTATAGAATAAAATAATTTTCTCCTTCGAATTGGTCGCAGGGATAAAATAAAAAAAGAAAAAAAAAAGGGACTGCCGGCCTAAAAATAATACCTTAATAATGACTCATCTTTAAATAATACTGAAATATTAGAAATCAAAGAGAAGCCTACACTTGGACATCGAGATTCCCATATTTCCGGATCAATTCCAAGGGGTTTCGGCAACCCCTATGTCATGATATTGTTGTCATTATATTATAAAAATTGTCCAAACAGATGACATGGGCAGAACCAGATTATATTTAAAGAGTGGTTAAATTACCCTTCAAATATGTCATAATATTGTAAGCATTATAAATATTTTATTTTTTTTCAAAAATGTCCAAAAAAAAAAAACCAGCTTTCTTACAAAACCATACTTTAACAGTTAATTGCAGAAAACAACTTAGGGTTTGTTTGGGACAGCTGTAGCTTATGGAATAATCTGTTGATAATCTGATTAAAAATAATTTGTTAATAAGCTAGGTGCGGTAACTATTATAAATTTTTATTTATTTGGAAAAGTGAGACCGCTGCCAAAAAGCTGTCACTGCGCTGCTTTTAGCATTTTCAAAACGCATGAGTTGTTGAAATGCAATTTACCCAAACAGTACAGGTGCGTTTTCAAAACGTCAACGCACCAAATAAGCTGCCCCAAACGGACCCTTATTTGGGATTGCTGCAACTTCTTTAAAAGTTCACTGTAAGAGTGTGGTGGGAAAAATCCTTTGAGAAAACTAAAATAAGGAAATAATTTAATTGCTGTCATTATCTGATTGCCAAAAACAACATTTCACCACACCATTTTTAAGAACAGCAATAATTCAATTATATAAACAGAGCTATTCTGATGGTTGGAAATGCAACACTGATAATTGCATGTCTAAATGCAGCAAAAAAAAAATGTAAATAAAATAAAGGGGGCCATATATAGCAGGAGAATAAGGTATTCATTCAACTACAATATGAGAGGTCTGAAAGCTGCTAATTTAAGAATATTGTTTACCATGCTGAAAAGTAAGATCAACCTCTGGACAATGATTTTTTTCATTAATTTTGCGCAAATGAAGTTATAAGTGGGATATGACATATAAATTTAAAAAAAAATTATGATATTAAAAACATAAACTGAAAAGGGAATAATGAAGCTAAGAAACCCTGCAGCAAGTAGAAGTATAGATGCAAAACAGAATCCGCACAACTGCTGCTTAAACAACCAGAAAATAAATCTTAGTGGGTTTATCGTGTGACGTGACGCAATTTCATTGGAATCCTGATGTAGTTCTGCATCAGCACTCCTGATGTAATATTTTTTATCTTGAGAAACCGAGAACAGAATAGTATATGGACAAACGGCTCATAAAGCGCTAAGCTCCAATCATTAATTAATTCCTTCATAGACTCTCAGAGACCAATATCATAACTATAGTATCTGTTTATAAATAAACACCATTTAGCCAAACAGGCTCAGAACGAGCATTGTTATGGATCCAGTCTTCTAGAACTCTACCCAACAATAAGGAAAAAATCTAGAATCCGCGCAGAAATTTTTATGCGACGAAAGGTAAGTATTAAAAACTACGAAAATGGCATAAACAAACAGGCTCAAGAAGCACAAGTATCCAATCATTGATTCTTTCACAGACTGTCTGAGCTCAGTGGAGTATCTATATAGTATTTATTATGCATAAAAAAAAGAGGCTGAGTTGAACCTATGGAGAAGGCATCCTCATAGTTTTTAATAGAAACCCAATCTCCAGAATTCCAAACTATATTGAACGCCGAGACACGACAGGTCATGAAAACTTCACATGGATCAGAAAAAAATAAAAACAAGAAGTTTAGATACTCTACAAAAACAATCCAAACAACGTCATTTATACCAGCATATCAGGTTTTAGCTCATCAATAAGGTACTTGAAACATGCCAGAAAAGAGAGAGCCCATACAAAATGTTTGCAACCATAAGTTGAGTTACAGATGATTGAAAGAAGAACAATATAGCCAAACAGGTTCAGAGAGCTTATGAAAAGAGAGGAGTTGAAGATTGATTCTTACTGCCTTGGGTCAAATACATGGTTACATGGTGCAAATTATCGTAGCATCCTACTATATTACATTATTTACGCAAAAATTAATCACCCTCTAAGCGTCTCTGTAGTCAAATGCATTTCCAATTTATTATTAGAAAAGGAAAACTGATATACATAAAAACATACATACAAACATACGCGCGTTCGCACGCACACACATATATATACATAGAGAGAGAGAGAGAGAGAGAGCCACACACTCACAGGAGATCCCCAGCATCCACACATGGTAAAGAAAACAAAATAAGAAAGAATAATAACTGAAATAGATATTTACCGAGAAGTTCTTCAACAAATTCCCTATTCATGAATGATGTATGGAAACAAATTAACTGTTAAAATGCATACCTGTAAACAAATGGAGCTGGAAAAACAAGTCAACATGGAATGATAGATATGGAATATCACAAACGAGTGAGGGAAGCCATTAACAATTACGAGACTGCTGTATAAAACAGTTGGTCATTGCATCCTTTTCACCTCTTGTGTTAATATATGCATATCATCTGATTAAACAATATAGGTCTTCTTTAAAGGCTTCCGTCCTCTCTTTCTCTTAGGACTGCCAGAATCGGTCATGAAATTGAAAGCATTGATTATTTCTGCATCTTCTTCATTCCATAGGATCTTAGCAGCATCAGGCTTGGCCAGTAGCTGCTTCGCAACTAGAAAACCAGCAATGGACCATGTTTGGTAGAGACGAGATTGCTTTCCAATGAAGCGACCGCTCTTTGCATCGTAATATTCAGGCCACTTATCTATAGAAAGGCGCCTCTCGGCAACCTCCACAGCTCTTGCAGCAAGTTCCATCCTATTCATCTTTATGCATGCTATAGTGAGCTGCAACAGAAGAAAGCTGAGGACTTAGCCAAATTACAAGGAATATGGAAATAAAAATTTCTTTGGCTTATGGCAGCCAACATTATTAGAAGTCTTGACTAGATTTCTTGACGTCGGTACTATGAACGACATTCTATTAATTGCAATTAAGTGTTGATTATAGGAAAATTTATATGCGTGGTGCAGAATTCTTATGTATTTACATATCTCACACCTAAACTTTATATTTACATATATAACATTTTGGTGCTTTAAGCCTACGCGTGAAAAATGTGTATTTCACTTTGAAAAAGTGTTAATAGTGCTATTTTTTATACCATATTAAAGATTTGAGTGCTATGTGTGTAAATATGAAAGTTAAGGTGTGAGATAGCAAATACATAAGAATTGTGTGCAAGTTAAATGCCCCTTGTTCATATGTGATCTAAAGTGTACTTTGATTGATTCTTTCTACACAGCTTCTGGCTATTTTGGCCTACCACTCTTGGTATAACCATTCCATCGACAAAGATGAGCAAATGTTGACATAAATCCAGAAATCTTTCAAACATCTAGTTCCTAGCTTTAGCTTGTGATATGCAACATAGTTAGAGGCATCCAATGCAAAGGAAGAAAATCTTATAAAGCAAAACCAATATCAAAATTTTCAACAAAATAAACTTTAAATTTCACAATGTCTGAAAGTACATTCAAGACTAGAGGCCTATATAACGAATAACCAACTCATTAATTGAAACTAAGAAAAAGTATGTAGTAACTTAAAATTGAATCTATGAAAGCATTAAAAACTCCCAAAAAAATAATCTTAGATTACAGAAATGTATTTGAAACAAAAATGAAATAAAGAAGACAGATACCTGCCACAACAAGGTTGGCCAAGATCCTCCATTGTGATAGGACCATGGCCTGCACCAATATATGAAGAATAATGAAAAACAGAAATATAAATAAAAAAGAACTGAAATATGGAGAAGAAGAGCTCTTTACGTGTTTTTAGGATCACTGCCTGTGATGATTCTCCATTCCTGTCCTTCAAGCGCTGGATAACATATCTTTAAAGGCATATCTGCCACTAAATCAGACCATTTAGCTTCTATGAGATCCAAAATGGCATGTGATTGTTGTGTTGTCGCCAAACTACTTACAATGGACCACAAATTCCCTAAAGAAAAGAAACGGAAATCCATGTGAGCCGGCTGCAAATTCCCAATCAAGTAACCCCCTTTATCAGGTATCCATTCCACCAGCCATGGAGGGATCTGGTCAGGATAAATGTTGAACTTGTTAACGGCATCATAAGAATATTCCTCTGTCTTGTAACGATAGATCTCGTTTAATTTTTTCATATCTACCCAATAATATTCCCTAATATGGAAAGATAATGCTATCAGCCGGCTATTCAATGCTCGGAGAAGATCTGCTGATCCATCTTCAGGAGCAAGCATCTCACGTGCACATAAGAGAGCTGAATAAAAAAGTGCCTGCAAAAGCAAACCAATTTCTCAAGTTATAACAAAAGCTTTCTTTTCTGTATGTGGCAACAGAGTACTTTAATACCTCTTAACATTGAAACTCGGATGGAGTGGCTATTATAAACAGACTAGCTGATATTTCTAATATTTATTGAAATGGTTGAAATCACTAATCAGCATAAGTGTGATGCTCTCAAATGTTAAAAAGCTTATTAAAATCAGAGTCTCTGGATGAGTGATTTGATTCAGGAGATTCTCCAACAGGTTGGGCCAGTCAAACCCACACTAGAGTGTCAGCGATATCAAGTTGACGACCAATTTTGATAGGCTACATCAAAGAGTTTGGGTTACTTCAAAGCCTCAAAGACATATAGAAGAGAAAAACAAGGCTTTGTCCAAATAGAAATTGCTTCCTCATCAAAACAAGGTGAATTGGTCACATGAGCTACAACATAGAAATTATCGAAAAAAATAAAAGGGAGCAGACCAAAGGTATTCTCAAAAGCCAAATCATGCTGGCTATATGATCCTTCGGTCACCCCTTTTTTTGAATTTTTCCTTATAGAGGGTTAGCTCTTTCACATTAGACCTAACTTTTTCTTAAGCTAGAGGATATTTAGTAATTTGAAGTATCAAAATTCAAATAGAAATTGCTTCCTCATCAAAACAAGGTGAATTGGTCACATGAGCTACAACATAGAAATATCGAAACAAAATAAAAGGGAGCAGAAAAATACCCCACCTGGACGCTTTAATTACTCTCCCCTTCACGTTTTCTCCTTAACTGATTTGTCTGATAAGGTTAAGACCCAGCTCTGACTCTAATTGAAACCTAATAGAATGAAAACTTAACTTTACTTTCTTCACCAAGAACCTTAATACTCTAAAGCGCCAGAAACCAATCCTTTTCTAAATTACAAGTTCTGCCTCCTAAGTTAAAAATTTACTTTCCGCTTTGCTTTAGCCATCAACAAAAAGAAACAACGCCATTTTCATATTCCCAATCACAACTAAAAAAGCCTCAAACCTTAAAACCCTCCCCTTCTGACTTTAGGAGAGAATTCCAGACACTTCAGATCATGGTATCAAAGCTTTTCGTCCTCCTTGTCAAAGATATCTCCCAAGATGTTGAATACCTAATATGGCAAAGATTTAGCAGAAAAAAATTAAAACTACGACACCATGTAGAAGATTCCCTTCCGCCAACAAAGTATTCTGGAGGAGATATCAAAGAATGTTTAAAGTTATGTTCTGTTGGTCTTCCATATCAAATTATGTTCTTGTAGACGATAAACACCCATACCTAACATCAATGCTACCAATTGTGCGCATCTCATAGGGTATCAACATGAGAAAAAAGCCATTTAAATAGAGATGATAAAAAATCCAAATCATGACATGGAGGAGCTAAAGCTGTCGGAATAAAAAAAGAAGATAATTTATCATTGGAGAATACAAAGAGGGGGGTGGACAACCTAAACTAGTAATGTAATAGATTGTCTTAATAAAGCAGGGCAACATATTTTTTTTTAAATGCTATAAGGAAATCATGAAAATTATGAATTCTTTCTTTTTTATGATTTTCTGCAACTGTTTGAAGCTTCAAACACTCATCAAAAGCCATACTACAATCTTGCGGGTACTGGATGCAACACAAATTTTGATGGATACAATCACCTAGTCAGTTGGTCTTTGGTCAGCCGATCAATCCGTGCACATTTCACACAGCACAATCATTACATCTTGCATAGTGAAGGGAGTTTGGACTACCTTTCAAAAACACCTGCATAATCAGCTTCTCTCACTAGATCCTGGGAGTTGTGAAGGTAGTGCTATAAAAAAGTAAATTCTAAGCCCTGCCTGGAAAAATCTAGTCAGCAACTTTAAGTTCGCTATATCTAATGGTATCTCCAAACTCTAAGACAACAATACCCCTGACCTCTACCAACCATGCAACGTAATCATTATACCATCTCATTTAGTGAAAATGGAGGTCAACAAGACTACCCATCCTCAATTATCACCCCAAGCAACCTACCATTCCCATCAAGCTTTCTCCCCCATCCCTTATGTAGTGAATTTTCAAAGGAGGAACAGACGGTCGGACACTAAAATTCAAATTTAATATTATTACTATCACTAACAATTAATCATACAAATAACCAAAAGAATCAATAACCATTTAAATTTTAATTCAAAATAAGAAAAGTAATTGTAAATTAATTACGTAATATTTTCTCTACTTTCATTCATGTTCTAGTACTACAATTTAAACGTAAAAATAATTTGTTTCAAATATTATGAGCTATTAATAAGACTGAATATTTATGCTTCTAAACCACATTAATGTAATGAAAAAAAAACAATATGCAAACTAGCCAAATATAATAAATCAATATAAATTTTTTAATTATTCATTATTCAATTATAACCATTCGAAAAGTTTTTGAACATTCTATACACAGTATCTTCTCTAATAGGGGGATTTACATACATAGCACACAAAACTTAGGAAATTAAAACTTCACTCAAATTTTAGTATTTACTTCTGTGGAACTTAAAACATTAAATTAAAATCTAAAAAAACACTAATGCTCGACTTTCATCATCTCCCTTTACCTTTCTTCATGCTTCAACATCGAGTGCAAGCTGCTGCCACCGCGGATCATTTGTGTTGAGCTCTGCCTTGTCGAAGCACAGCTCAACGACAAGCTTCTCCGGTTTTCTCAACATTGTTCTAGGGTTTGGTTCATACTAGCTTGCAGTTTTTTAGGTTGCAAGGTGAAGCTCGTTGACGTCGGCAAGTTCCAAAGATTCAATATCTGGCTACATAATTTTGAGGAATAGGAGGTGAAGGCTATTATTTCACTGTTCAACAAGTTTCTCGACTACACACAGAAGAAAAGATAACTTCTAATTTATAGTGAATGCGGCGAGGCACATAAAGGTGGCTGAGTTATCGTTGGAGTTCAAAATTGACGATAGTTGAGAAAGTCGAGATCCGTCTGCCATTCTGTCTGACCTTAGGAAGCACACCGTCAATAAGATTATCATGGCCATCGTCCAAGCAAACAACCAGTTCAAAAGCCCGCCTTTAACCAAGTTGACGCCTTCAAAGCCACCGCTGGCCTCATCGAATTTAATAGAGTTAGTGATGCGCTATAAAAGTAAAAGTAAAGAGTAATGTTTGGGTGCAAAAGTTGTAAATATCAAGGTTTTGTGTGTTAAGTATTTAAATCACCCTATCTTATATTGTATATATCATTTACATCCGTCCCGACAACATCATCTAAATTGTACCCAATAAGTTATATCAATTTTAAGTTTAGGTGCACGGAAAACCTTAGTATTCCTAATTACAACCATAAGGGGTGGACTCTATAAGTCAACCAAGCCATGCAAATATACTATATAGATTATTTTATTTACATTCAAAAAATCATTATATATCTCTCTATAATAATTACTATATGTAACAAATTTAAATGTACTTTGAGATTTGTAACATATATTTTAAATATGATCAACAAAATCTAAGAGTAAATAAGTCAAGAGCAATTTGTAGTGTCAATTTATTCAAAGAAGCATCCATATCATTTAAAGCATTTGATTTAGAAAAAATCAATAACACCACTATAAAATAGAAATAAAAGTACTTATCATAAGCCTTATTATGCAAACACTATAACTCGATCTCGACCTCGCTCTTAATCTCACGAATTGGTATTCCTATAAATTACTCTGATCGGATAATAAAGCACCAATGAAATATAATTATTTAAAATAATTCATTATTCTTATCTAACTTTGCTTGCAATCATTCTTTCAAATTTAAACAATATTTCGCTTGAATTCTTCATTATAGTTTGACCACATTAATACTTATTACTAATAAAATATTATACTCAAAATCATCTAAGTAATTTAATTGTTAATAATTTAATAATGACATGTTTATTTTGGAAAATTTTGCAAACACCTACAAATTTTTATTTATAATTTATAAATATTGTAACTACATAATTTTAACTAAAGATATTATTTCTTAACACACATACATGTGTTTTTATGTATATCAATATATATTACTAAACTATTAAACTTATAAATTTTTATCAAATATATAACTTAACATTATAATTTTTATTTTATAACCTTTATTTTGAATGTGTGAATTAAAATATAATTATTTGTATCAAAAGTGTTGGAGACGAGTTGAAGTGGGGGGCTTACCTACCATAGTCACCCATGCGGTAGAAGAGCCGAACCGGCCGGATCCACCAGGGTGACCAGGGCAAGCCAACCAGCCGACGGGTCCAAGGCTACAATGTTGCATTTCTTATTCAGAGTATTGAGACTTTTCCTTCTCTATTTGTCACCGTTACCTCTCTGTTTTCTGCCAGCCTTCCCTTCTTTTTCTAGTTGCAGCTCAAAGAGGAAGCATCCCCTTCCTATTTTACCTTCTAGCTATTATATATTTGTTGTTTTCCTTGCTTAAGGTTAATTTTTAGTCTTTCTGAATTCAGATTTCTGTCCAGCTCGCTATCTGTGGTTGTTTTCCCTTCCAGGGTTGTATCCAAAGGTGAGGAGGTGCTCCGATTGTAACTAGTTCGAGGTGGTGATCGTCTCCAAAGGTTTGAGGGGTGCTTCAAATGTAACTTGATCCCGCGGACCCATCTTCCCCAACTCCCCTCCGCAGTGTCCCCTTCCCATGCTTCCAAACGTCAACCCATGCTTTTGGGTTGCAGAATCCCCCCAAAGCTTCCTATTGGTTGCCACCCCAACCCATGAGTTCTCTTCCTTTTGGGTCGCAGAATCCCCCCAAAGCTTCCTATTGGTTGCCACCACTCTTGTTCCTAGCTTCCTGTTGCTTGTTGTCCATCTACTTTTCGCTATCCTACCTACCTATGTGCCTATCCTCCTACTGTTTGCACAGACCCCATTCAGGCCTGTTGCTGATTGTCGCAGCTCCCATCCAAACCTCATGTTGATTGTCGCAGCTCCCATACAAACACCTGCTACCAGTCGTTGCACATCCACCTCCTTTCCTGCTTGCTTTCAAGCCATTGTCCACCCCTCTCACCCTTGCCCTAAAGAATCATTTATGTTTGTGTTATTACTTCCTTATTATCAAGAGTCTTAGTTGGTAAAATCATTAAAACTCAGCAATAACATTTTCATTTCTGTTGTGATTTGGGTTAACTCTCATAACATTTGGTATCAAAACAAATTTAACCCTAATCCTATCCTAGGATTTTTAAGCATCCGCCTTACCACCCCACCAAAAAAAATTATTTCCTATTTTCACGTCATAGCCAAACTTTGACTTAACCCTAATTCCTCCTTGTTGATTTTCAAAATCAACAACCACAAATTAATTTTCATACACCTTTAATTCGTCGCATACACCCTCTTTCACCTCCCAACCTTAAACTCAAGTCATGACGCTAAGGAAATGAGTGCTTGAATCTACCTGCGAAGAGATAAACCAAGAGCTTCATCGTCTCCAGCAGAGACTTGCAGAGATGGATGAGGAAACACATGGGAGACTTACCCTTGATGGTGAGAGAGAAAGTCGGGGAGGTAAATGTGACGAGAATTTCAACCCCTTCCATAGGGAGGATTTTAGTGAGGAAAAAGAAAGGGGAAGACGTTTCAAAATCCAATATCAGAGGAGGCCTAGTGAGGAAACATTATTTGGAGGACACAAAGATTTCAAAATAAAAATGGATCTACCAAAGTTTGATGGAGGAATGGATCCATATCATTTTATCGAATGACTACAATCATTTGAGAGAATTTTGGAGACAAAGAGGTGCCAGAAGATAAAAGAGTGAAACTTGGAGTTATCAAATTAAGAAAGAGTTCCTTACACTTAGACAACTTGTAAAGACGAAAAGAGAAGGAAGTGATAAAATATTCAAATGTGAAAGGATAAAGATAGCGATGAAGAAAAAATACCTCCCACCCCATTACTGCCAGCATATGTTTTTGAGACACCACCACCTGCAGCAAAGAGACTTATCAGTTGAGGAGTTCATGATGCAGTTTGATCAGTTGTAGATGAAGTGTGATTTGGTCGAGCCAAAGGAACACACCATAGTCCGTTATCTCGGAGGACCTAAAACCCGTTATTAACAATGTGATACAATTGTAGTCTTATTGGTCACTTGGAGATGTCCATACCTTACCATTGAAAATGGAAAGGCAGCAGAAACAGAGTAGGCAACCAACACTAGTCAGGTAGTCACCCACAGTTGGAGACACCAGTAGGAGCACACCTCAAAGATTTGAGAAAGTTGGTTCATATAAGAATAAAGTGACCCCCAACGAGAAGAAGTCACCCCCATAGATTTGGGCACATCACCTCCAGCTGCCTGACAAGTTGGGTTGTTTTTATCAAGTAGGGAGTCATGGAGGAGGTTAGCAATGACGAGGCTGCTGAGGAATAAAGGGAGTATCATCTTCTATCAAATGAAGGAGAGCTTCTCGTGTTTTGAAGGGTCCTATAGACCGAAGATACGAGGGATTTGAAGTGGTTTTGTCACAATATATTCTACATTCGTTGCACTGTGAACGCCAATGAATATAGTTTTACCGTGGATGGAAGGAGCAACAAGAACGTTAAGTCTATACAAATGGTGGAGAATTCAGATCTTATAACTCAGAGGCACTCACAATCATATTTTCTAATGTGGCTAAAATAGGAGAATAGAGTTAGCATTGACCAGAGGTGCCTAGTAGTGTTTCCAATTGGGAGCAAGATGCAGGATCAGATGTGGTGTGACGTGGTCCCCATGGATGTCTATGACCTTTTGTTAGGGAGACCATGGTAATTTGACTAGAGGACTGAACACGATGGATTCAGAAACACATACTCTTTCGCCAAAGATGAAAAGACATAATCCTCCCTTCAATAGAGAACGAGATCACCGGTGCCTTTGCCAACACAGCAGCATCAGTGGGCCCAGTTTTGGTGACAACAGAGGATCATAGGACTAAAACACCAGTTCCAGGCACGAGACAGACACGACAGAGAGCAATTCAGGATATCACGGTCGATACCTAACCACCACAATTTGGGGAGGTTCAGGCTACCTTCACATTGGATCAAGTTGAGTCGACCCTAAAGTACTTTGGAAATATTCCGTAGCATAGACGAGATACGCGGACTCGGTTCAATTCAATAGTGGACCCCGATGATAGCGGATCGATAGAGATGTATGCTCGCAAGTGGAGGAAAATCCTTCGGTGCTTTGGGAGGCAATATAGCTTACAGTGGGACCCATGTGTCGTTAGAATTGAAGATGGAGAACCAAAAGCTTCGACAAATGAAGTCGAAGCTCCCCCAACCCCAAGAGACTGACGCAAGGTCTTACCTGCTGCAGTCACTCTATGGAAGAAGGGCAAAACCGGCTGATTCAATTAGGGAGAACAAAGCCATCCAACCAAACGACCAGTCCAAGGCCACAATGTCGCTTTCCTATCAGGAGTGTCACGTCATTTCCTTCTTTGTTTTTCACCCTTGCCTCTCTGTTTGATGTCAGCCTTCCCTTTATTTTCTGGTTGCCGCTAAAGGGGAAGCCTCCCTTCCTATTTTATCTCCTAGCTATTATATATTTGTTGTTTTACTTGTTTGAGGTCATTTTTACTGTCATTCTGAGTTCTGATTTTTGTCCAGCATGTCGTCGATTGTTGTTTTCCCTTATAAGGTTGTATCCAAAGATGAGGAGATGCTCCGACTGTAACTCGTCTGAGGTTGTGATCGTCTCCAAAGATTCGATGGGTGCTCGGTTGTAACTCGATCCTGTGGGGATACCTATCTTCCCCAACTCCACTCCACAGTGTCCCCCTCCCATGCTTCCAGCCGCCACCCCTGAATTCCCTTCCTCTTGGGTCACAAAATCCCCTAGAGCTTCTTGTTGGTTTCCACCACTCTTGTTCCTAGCTTCCTGATGCTTGATGTCCATCTACTTGTCATTATCCTACCTAGCCTACCCACCTATCCTCCAAATGTTATTGAAGACCCCATCCACGCCTGTTGCTAATTGCCGCAACCCCCATCCGGACCTCCTATTGATTGTCGTAACCCCATCCCGCCACTTGATGCCTGCAACTACACATCCACTCCCTTTCCTGCTTGCTTTCAAGCCTCTGTCCACCCCTCTCACCCTCATTCTAGAGAGTTTGTTATAGTTTGTGTTGTTATTTCTCTATTATCAAAAGTTTTTGTTCGTAAACCCTTTGAATTTCAGCTATAGAATTTTCATTTCTATTGTGATATGAGTTAACTTCAGTATCACAATTATACTTTTAATTTATAGGAGAATTTAAAGTAGGCTTCAATATTTGCAGATAGTTTGTATGCAGCTCAATAAATAAATAAGAACCTCAGCAAAAAAATGCCATGTTCAAAAGTCCCAAGGAAATTCAAAAATTAATTCAATCTCCCTCAGGAAAAAAACTTCTCAATTTAGAAGACTGGGTCATTTTACTTAACAAGCTTTCTCAAGCTCATCTCCTTTACACGCCTATATATAACGGGGTTCTTTATAACATGGATAATCATATTAAAAAAATGAATGGACTGTGATCTCAGTCATGGTTCTTACCACTCACTTCCGAACTTCACAGCAATTTTGAATACAATGGGATCCTATCCATGGTTTCTACTACCCCTCCCTCCCTGCAAACACATCGCAAACATAAAATGAGAAAAGTTTTCCGAGTTTCAGGTCCTCCGGACTGCTTTCAAGTACTCTACATGAAGAAACCAGATTATAATCATCATCGTATGCTCTGTAATCATCTCCAGCATGCTTGCTCTAATCACCCAATATTCTAATTAGGTTGAAAACTTAGCTCTAACACTAGCACACAAACCTACTAATATCAAACCATTAACACCATTAGATTACTCAGAACACACACCTTCTCAGGAACCTCAAACCAGCTCTTTCTTACGCGATATAATCTCCACCAAGAAGACATAGTGCCAATACTTCCTTCTTCCATCTAAATTCAAGCCATAAACAAAATGTTAAGCCCAGACCTCCCGCCACACAAGCACCAATAGACATACAGTCTGAAACCTAAACGGTTATCCATCCAAATTTAATAATGAATTCCTTCAGCCTACTTTTGAATAACACAAGTACGACGTTGACGCATAATTTCATAGAAGAACATAAAATCACCAATTTAGGGGCATAAGCTCCATGATAAACAGACATATGCACGGTTCTTGTGATTCCAAAAACATGTTTTCACTGACAGACTGATTATCATTAAATGAAACAAATGCATCCTCTTCACTTCCAGCAAATACAAAATTACCTGAATTTCAAGGGGATGGCCATGAATTCCCATACGTCTATCTATCATGCATGAACCATCTGTCACCAGTAATGTAGGAAACATGTCAAAGCCATCAGAAAGACACAATTTTAGAATCATTGTAATTCCTGTCTGTACATCAATTCTCTCCTGAACTGAAAGATCCCCAGAACATTTTCCATATGCTCTTAGCAAAATAATCCACCATAATCCTGCAATTAAAAGCAACTAAATGAAGACTTTCAGTTCGTACAAGGAATTAAGAATAGAAAAGAGATTTTCCAAGTGACAACTGTGAAATTAGTCCAAATTTCCTAATGAATAAACAATAAACAATAAACAAGCCAGCAAAGATGTAAAAAAGAGTTGTTCTTCAAAATAAGCCCGTAATATGCAAGATAACAAATGATAGAGAACAAAAATTTAAGTGCTAGAACATCTTACCTGAATCTACTGGGGCAACACGCCCTATTGCAGCCTCTCCGAAGTCTGGATCCAGCACCTCCTCAGTTGCGGAATCATCGCCATCTAGTGGAACTGTCCGAACTTTAAAGCTGGCTGGCATCAGTCCTTGGCCTGGACTGTGGCAGTCCATAGTTTTCTCCCAGCTCTACCATGATATACCAAATGGTTGTAAAGAATTGCTAGTTAGAAGTTAAATCTAACATCTAAAAACTAATTAACTGAAAAACAGTATTACAATGGCGAAATGAGAAGTTGATCATGATAAAATTCAGCCCCTCCCAAAAAGCATTGTGCAACATATCTAAATAGTAGAACAGTTACAAGATGAGGGCCAATATTTCATGTGAAGTTCAGATTTCAAAAGAAACGATAAAAGATTTATATCATCACTTAAAGCTGATGCAATGCTCCAAATCAGTTACTTGCTTCGGAGACGTGCAGAGAACACAATTAGAAATTTGAGAACATCAATAAAAGAAATCAAAGAAAAACTAACATCGACAAATAAAAGTAGTCTACTTTAGAGGTATACGGAACACAAAATGATGTTGCTTAGATCTTGGTTCTTTACAATAAATCCCTATAATTATGTTAATGACGTTGGCAACTTCACTTAAAATTTTTTTGCATCAAAGTCAAAATTTTGATGTGACCCCAATTAAGTAAAAGAGTAAAATATTATTCTTGTGACTAAGCGGGGTTGGGTAGCATTTACATTTCCTTATGCATCTAGTAAAAAAATGTTCACCTTTATACGTCTATGCTCTATATCCCTCTTTCTCCAACGTCGATTTGTTATCATTACATAAGGAGAGATTGTTAATACCATGAGCATATATTTTTCATCACGTGTTACGATTGGTTCATTAGTGGCTTGATGATGAAAAACCTTAGGCAGCGTCATCTACTACTTTGCTTAGTATTTAACAGGCTAATTATTTAAAACAAAATCATGGATATTCATACATATGACACTAAGCTTACTTGACGCATTTGCAACTCAAAGATAAGCTCAATATGAAAAATTCATGGAGACCCAAGATTGCAATTAAGATTTGAAGAAATTTATTTTAGTATAAAGATAAAAGGTCAAAACAGTAACCGGACTATTTGTATGAGGAAATTTTAATCCCAACTATCTAATATATTCAATTTAATCTCTACACACCTCACTTCTGATTCAAAATATTTTCTCTACTGAACTACTTTAGATAAAACTTGAAAAGTTGAGGAATTAATATAAATCAAATTAAAGGAGTCTAATAATAAAATTAGACACATTAGATAGTATGAAATTAAAATAGGCCCCTATAAATAGTCCGGGGGGGGGGCCATTTTGACCTATTTTTCATTGGCTGTGTAGTTATAAATTTTTCATTATACTTGAACTAGTTTGATTTACCTAAAGATGGAAGGATAATGAAAAAGAGTTCAAACATTGATTACATTTTTTACAACTAAATAAAAAGATGTTTTAATTATTCTAACAATATTATGTTCATATAAAACGAAATGGAGCATTTTAGTTAAAGCTAAATATACTCATGTTCGAAGTTGCATAAGTTTTGAACTTGTAGTCATTGATTTTAAGGTAAGTTAAGGTTATGTAAATTAATTTAGAATTAATTTAAGTGATGATAAAAAATATGATCATCGCCAAAAATAATTGAAACATGTTTAATTCATTATATTACTTGTGTTTGAAACTTTGACTTTTTAAATTATGATTTTTTTTTTGAGGTATTTTTAAATGAAAATAAAGTTAATGATATTTCATATTTTTAGCAAAATTTGAAATTTTTACCAAAACCTTTTTACGCATCAATTTTCTACAAATCAATTTTCACATTTTTCAAGGCCGTTTATTATATTTAAAATGTCATGTTAGTTAATTTGTTGGAAGATAATAATGACTCCCCACAAACCCATTAATCATTCCTTCTTAACTACGTTAGCACATAGCTAATCTTTAATGTTTCTTGCGGCCACTTTATGAAAGCCGAACCTTTCTTGATTTTCCCTTGCGCAATCGCCGTTGTGTTTCCCGTTCTTTATTTGTTGTGTCAACATTCTTGATTTTGCGATTCTCTCTCTCTTTTTTTTTTTGCTCACCGCCTTTTAAAATCATGATTCTTGCCTTTTCTTCCTGCACCGGCTCTGCACTAGCTCCTTTCCCTATTAAAGTGGTGGGTTAGGGCAGTGCAGGACTAGCCTCTAGCATTAGCGAGCCTCCACAACCCTCTTCCCCTATTCTTTCGGAAACCCAAATAGTACGTCTTCTACTCTCTCTCTTATCCTGAAGTCTTAATAGTTCGTCGTTCTACCTTCTCCCTCACCTAGACAGGGTTGCCAACAATAGGTGAGTCTTCTTCCTCTCATTTCCCTTTTTTTTCTTTTTCTTTCTTCTCCTAAGGAATGATTAATTAATTTTCTATATATATATATATAGTGATAAAATTAAGTTGTAGTTCATTTAAATTGAACGTTAATGTGATATATCTAATTTCAAGCAAAAGTTTTAAAAATATTATTGAGAAAAGTGACAATTTTATTCTTAACTTAGTTCTGCTTACAATAATTAGAATATTTAATTATATGACCTTCAGAGGGGATTTCAGGTCAACGGCATGAATTAAATTTTAGTAGATTAAATAATCTCATATTGTTTGCATTGAGGTCAGTAGTTATTATTTATTAAGGCATAAACATATCATTCGTCGTTGTAGGCGTTATCCTTAATATTTGTATTAAATTCCTATCTATTTATAGTTTTGTTAGTCATACTATTTGAATTCTATTAATATTTGCAAGTAGATTTCATTTCTTGTTCATAATAAATTTCATGTGTAATTAGTCTTGTTTTATTGTTGTATAGATTTCTATTTAGTTATGTGTGTAGTATTGATTATTTTTTATAATATTCATGTATTAAATTTTATTGTTGTATTTTACAATTGTGTATAAATACTGATGAGCATATTGTAAGTTATACTCATATGACTTGATTATCATGCATAAAGTATGCACGATATTATAATATTATTATGTCGGTATTAAAACTTTTTTATGACTAGGTGGACCGACGGGTACTCAGAGAAATCATTTAATTTTTATGGAATTGATGCCCACTTGTTTTTTAGGATGTTGTAGAAAATCGACTGTATATAAATATATTAATATGTCTACATTGCACTAGCATACTTAAAGATTATAGGTAGTGTTAAAAGAATAATAAATCATATGTATATAAGTACATCGGATATTTTGACATAAATATTCATATAAAAGTGCATAGGTTCAAGTTTATATTCATGAACATGAGCATTTGTCCCTCTTTTATTATTGCAAAATTTTGTTAGTCTATGTAAAATATAATATCGTTCTGTTCTACATGCCCCTCTTCATTATCATTTTCTTACTTTAATAAAAATAGTTATTTACTAGGCTTGAAATGTTAAACTTGCTCGTTAATATTTTTATATAACAAGGTATCTCCAACAATTTGGAGAATCGTTTTCTGTGAAAAATGCATATAATGTATTAATAAAAGAAAAGGATTACAAAAGAATGCAAAGAATAAAAATATGCATGTACAAAATGACTCCTATCATCACTAGGAATAGCTGAAAGATTAATATACCCATTTACATCTTTCAATACAAATTCCTATCTAAAGCTAAAGTAGCGCCAAAATGGGTTGCACAGTTGCCTTCTCTCTTAGTATGCCAAAAAATCATTTCTTTAAAGGAGGCCAAAAAAGAAATATCTTAGCTTAGGCTGCGATGCCACTCCCAAAACTTCCTAGTCACCGATTCACACATACAGCGGCTGATATTAATGTTATCTCCTTCGAGAATGACAACTTTGTGTTCATACATCCAAGGCTCAACAATTCGTTAGATGGCAAGGATGGCCTAGACTTCAACTCTAACATTGTCCCAATGCTCAAATCTGCGGCCCGTAGCAATAATAATGCTCCCTCGATCATCGCGGATAATTGCGCCCTCCCAGGCAATACCAAAGGATGAAAGAGCCCCATCAACGTTGATTTTGATCCATCCAGGGGGAGATACCAGGGTGAAGGAGAAAAAACCTTTTTGGTTGGCTCACATACCACTGCTCCCGAAATGGAAATAAATCCAAATTGGTAAGAGCTTCAAGCATTTTATTAGCAATCGTGATTGTTGTCCTAGAAGATTGGCCATGGACTTTTGTGTTTCTAGCTCTCCAGTAATAATATACAACATAACAAAAAAAACCAACCCAGGAGAAAATTTCCTAACTTAAGATTTATTTTTTGGTATTTTTAATATTTATGTTAATTATTATACTTTTCTCTTTTGATCTTGCATGGTTATTTCTCTGTTGCCTTCAATTTTTCTCTTTTATTTTTTGATTTTTCTTCAATGGTCTCAGTTGTTGAACTCTTATTTAAAAAATGAAATAAAATTTATCTTTCTATGTTTATTTTCGTTATTATTTATATAATCTTTTTTTTTTTGAGAAAATAAAATAAGTTTATATTGCTTTCATCATGTGTTGCATTGTCGGGATGTAAAAATTGTGAGACCTGGGGTGTAACACACTTAGTAGAACCTATTAAGCGATTGTGAGATCCTCATAAAATAGTAACGACTAGTTTAATAGCAGCTAAGAGGTAATATTTTACCATACTTCTATTAATAGGGTGAAGGGATTTTTCTCTTTTTGAGAAGCCCTTAAGCCTACATTAAAGGTGCAAATAAGCTATAATACCGCATATAGAAAGAGGAGGATGTGTCTGATGGATAAATCAATTGAAGGAGCACAAAATTGTTCGGACAAAGTAATCACCTTGAAGTACTTAGTGATCTCCCTTTCTCAACCTCTAGTAGTTAATTTGTCCTTGTTTCCATTAGTATAAATTTCAATCTATCAATTAGAGAGATTTTGTATTTTGATTCGTTTAGCATTAGTTTATTACACCACCAAAGCCTTGATTGGAAAGGTAAAATCACTTGCAACAAAATTCTTAGATTTGTCTTGCCCATAAGGAAAGGTGTTTTCAGTTATGCCTTTCATGGTATTGAGAGTACATTTGGTGTAAGTTTCATCCAGCATAGAGCTTCTCCTCCACCATAAGGAAAACGCCATAGCTTGATATAT